ATTTCATAAAACCGTGAGTCGGTGTGTCCGGCCTACTCACATCAACGTCGTTGGAGTTGTTGCCAGGTAACGCCGAGGTTGCCGGGACGATGGGTTTACTGGTGGATGGGGCTGTGGGGTTGGAGCAGTGCTGGGAGATGCTAGGAGAGACGGGCTCCACTTTGACGATGGCTGGAGCTGAACCGAGACAGACGGACTGAGACAGGACAACTGGAGGAGGAAGAAGACAAGAGGAGACGGGTCATTGCTGCTCTCATGCTGCAGGAAGGCACAAACACCGGCAGGCAGCAAAGCGGCCGTTAAGAACCCAGATATCACCAGAGCGATGTTACCTAATCAAAACAACCTCTGCACGCTGGTCATTTTAGGACATGTAGGAGCCGTGTCCTTGTACAGAGACAAACAAACAAGACATGGTCACATTGTATATACTGTTCTCCCACATGTCTGATCAGTAACTATGCAGAACAAAAGTGAAAGAAACAGGTAAAACACACAGAACACTTGACATAACCGATGGACAGATTCCTGTGCGTTCATGCACCCAAAGTTTAAACAGACACACCAACCGGGTCTCTTCTCTTACCAGGTCTGCTCTGGTCCATGGAGGGGAGGCCCTGCAGAATGAGCGCCTTGGCCGGTGCTGGGGTCTGGGGGACAGGCAGGGTGGTGACACACACGGGTCTGGGCTGGATGGGGGGTTTGGTGCTCAGGATGGTGCTGGCCTTCAATGAGGATGAGCTCGGCAGAACTGACGCAGAGGCAGAACAAGTGTTAGGCTGCTCTGTCAGGCTGTCACCAGGACTTTATTAAACAAACCCAACAGCATCATTTCATACATCAGCTCCAACAAGCAACAAATACTAGGACACCTATATTCTACATGCACAGTGTTAGTGAAGTATAAAAACACCCTGGGATTTTTTTTTTCACCGTTTTCTGAGGGAAGTTCTGCAAAGCATCAAGTTCTGACTGTAAAATATAGGCCATCTCCTCTAAATGAACCCGGAGCTGTTACTGTATGTTGCAGCTCTGTCTCTGGACTGAGCCTGTCTCACCACGGCTCTCGCTGCACATTGTCCATTCCTATGTTTGTACAGTATTAAACTCTCTCTCCAACAGTACAACTGAACTGTGGCAGACTGCTGAGGCAGTGGTGATCTGCAGAACAGTTTGAGGCACTTTAGATGTGTAGATCCTTATCTATCATGAGTACCATCAGTCCTACATTCATTCTGTGGCACAGAAATGGTACATATAGTCCCTGGTGATATTAAATACTATATGTGACCAGCTTCACCCCATTCATTGTTTTCATGGATCAGTGAACCTATGTACCTGTGGCCTGCGTCTGTATTCCACTGATGACTGCCGGGATGTGTGTGGTTAACGGCGTCTGAATCTGTGTCTGCAGGGGGGGTACGGTTGTTGTTGCCACGGTGACCTCCATAGATCCCAGCGGGGGCGACAGCACGTCTCCATACATGTACGGAGGAGTGGGAGGGTTTTCACCTTTGACTGTGATCTGGACAGGAGAGACGACAGTCAGGTAACCTCAAGCCTCAGTTCTTACTGCCCATTTGATCTGACAGTCAGGTAACAACGCCAGGTACCGGGGTACGGTTTGTACAGTTCATGACAATAACAATATAGTATATTATGTAGAAATGTGGCCAACACCCAGGACCTTAAACTATTTTTGCTCATAAAGCAGTTTAAACATCATCTGTGTGACCACTGAGAGAATCCAGGATTGTAAGTTGCTCAAACAGTATTAGGACTCAGCAGGGAAATGATGAAACATTACTGGCCATAACTCACATTAGGATAATTCTTTGGGATGACATGTGTACTCATGGGGATTGTCAGTCACAATCAGATGGGGCTGTGTGAGAAAAACCTTCTGCTCAAGCAGTTAAACACTAGGCTGAAGTCAGTCTGATGATCGTCAGTGAGACATGTTTACACAGCAGTAATTTCACAACCTGAAATACATTCATTTGTCCAATCAGCCTCAGTTCTTACTGCCCATTTGATCCTGAAAGGAGTAGTTTTATATAAAGCCACAAAAGAGAACAAATTCTGACCCCAAAACAGCTGCACTGTTTTGGTGGAGTAGAAAAGTTGAGCAGCCTTCACTGGTCCAGCTGCATCAACTAAACCCACCATACACCGGTTTCTTCTGGATCAAACACACACCTGAGGTTCTGGTGATGACGCCGAGCAGTCAGACCCGAGCGACGATGCAGGAGAGGGAGGCTCTGCTTTCACCTGGAACACTGACACAAACAAACATGTGAGCTACAACAGAAGGTGTTAAAACTACAAAATAACACAGTAAAAATCACAATAAAGGGCAAGATGTAAATAAACCAGACGTGAAGAAACTGGAGAAGAACTTACGCATTTCCACCGGTAACGGCTGTGTGATGGTCATTTCACTTTTTATTACCGGAGCGTCCCCTTAAAAGAAGAAGAGCCACAGTGACGGCAAGACAGAGACAGAAGGTGAGGTCACATGTAGAGAACATGGGAGGGATGTTTCTGATAGTTAGTTAATAATATCTTAAAGAACAGACACTGTCCTGCTGCCACAAATACTCACTAGAGGCCAAATGTGTCCACCTCATCCCTGAAAAGAGTACCTCAGGTTTGTTTAATAAAAACTACAGTGAGCTGCTATTTGAGGAGTCACTCACATCTGGTACTACTGCCAGTATGAATAAAAACTCCCATGTTAGGAGGAATCAACAGGCTTGGAGCTGAGTGCCACAGAAAGTGGTGAGATAAACCAACTCTTTTCAGTACAAAAAAATGTGCAGTAACACCAGGTGTCCCTTTTCTTCTATACATGCTCCATCTAGGAACACAAAAATATTTATTTTAAAACATTACTGTAGCAACCAATGTAGGAACTGAAACGTCTGCTTTTAATTTATTAAAATGCTTGGGACTAAAGGTCTCCTCAGGCCTGACCGCCTGCTGTGGCAGAGTCAAATATCTCATGTTCCAGTGATGTCGGCAGTTTAAAGTTCCCAGAGCGCGCCATGGCTGGCTGGCTGGTTGGTGTGTACCTGTGAGCAGGTTGTCTCTGAGGTGTTGCCATGGCGATGTGGGGTTGTCAGGATCAAGGGTGAGGACGAGGTCATTGTCAAACTGTGAGAGGTTGGGAAAGGAGAGAGAGGGTCGGGGAGAAAGGAGATGAAGTCAGGAGAAGATCGGGCCAAACAGCTGCTAGATTTCAGTGGGTGTCTTCCAACCAACAATCAGCCTGAAAATCCTCTGACTCATCATCCATCTGCATCTACTGATGGTTCAAAGACCCGATGGGCTTTCTCCTTTATGTAACCCAGCTTCCAGCTACACAAGAAGGGTTTAGCACATACTTGTGTAGCAGCCATGCGTCATTGAAGATTTTGTGACATGACACAAGTGTTATTTCCCATGTTTTCAAATGGGGGCGCTAATACAAATACGGTGGCTCTGTAACTCTGACGTCTTTGTTTACATGATCCATTTCCGGTGTCAATAAACCACAAACTTTACCAGTAGCAAAATGACGCACTCCTCTTCTGTAGCTATCGTTGTTTCTATGGTATAAATCACCTGAGTTGTGATGCGGTGCATCACACCTGCCAAGAGAGCTGTGACCGGTGTGTTTTCAGCTGGGTCTATGTAAGACAATATGAACGTGAGATGTCAACATGTTTAAGGAACAGTTCAACATTTTGAGAAATACAACTCCTGTAAATGTGACCAAAAAGATAAAGAGATCATGTGGGGCAAAACATTTCCCCGAGTCAACACAAACTCAAACCTCCCTCCAGCTACTGACAGCATCCCAACATCAATCAGGAGAATGGCAGCAAAGAAAACATCGGATTTAATTACAATATGAAAACAACATTTTTGTTAGAGAAAAACTGAGTAGAGAAGGGGTTGTGTATGACTTCACTGTGCCATGAGCAGTGACACTTTCTTTTGTGGCCGTACCAGCGTGTCGTATTTCAATTCTCTGCCGAAGTCTCCGTCCTCTCCCTCCTCCATGCTCTCACACTGGTACAGGCAGGCATCTGACGGGAGAAACACAGGAATCAGATACTTCAGCCGTGATGAATAATGACAGACAGAGGACGGAGAAGCATCTCTGAAAAGGCAAATCTGGTTTCAGGAGTCACTTCCCACACAACAAACTGAGATTCTGGTCACTGTTGCTGAGATGGAGATTCATTTCTCTGCTCACCGGTAACAGTATTTCTTAAACATGGACTGTGTGCACTCAGCTGGTGGTATTACCACATGGCCTGGCTGTAACCATGACCCTGTCTGCCACTATTTCCCATCATGCCTTGCATGTTCCAATGAGCTATCTGGACTTTGAAAGCAAACACGACACTGTGGCTGTTCATGGAGCCTGTGTCCTGTCAGAGAGAGCAGGTGTGAATCCCAGCAGCACCTGGTTTATGGCAGCTAAAATTTACATGTTTTCACCTTTCAAGTCTTGAAGGTGAACGTACTATGCGTAGTCCATCACACAATATTAGACTATGACAATCCGTTGTCCTTTTTCCTGTAAAACTGCCAAAACATTTGAGAATTTGCAGCTTTTCTTCATCTTATGTTATGGTAACATGAATATCTGAGTTTTGAATTGCTGGTCAGAAAAAAGAAGACATCACCTTGTGCTGTGATACCCTGGGATTAAATGTTCTTATATTTGTATTTTATAACAATTAGTCTATTAAACAAGGAAATGATAATCAACAGCCGAATCTTCAATAATACAATTCTAGTGGTTACAGCTCTCAAAGATATCTGGTGTTTTTACCACAGCCCAACAAATACTCTGACATTATTCAGTCTCTGCTAATGTCAGTGTTGATAGGAAACACATTAGCAGCTGTGAAACTGCAGCTAACAACAGCAACTAGCTTCTCGACAATGTTTAAGGCTGCACTTTTTATTCATTCCTTAATGACAATGGAGCATTAAAAGCATACGCTCCTCTGCGCTGTGGCTGCTCAGCTGATACTTGTCAGAATGGTTTTGGTCTTTTCATCCAATCTGTTAACAATGCAAAAATAAAATAACCAAACTCTCCCTCTACATTTTCTTCTGTTGTATATGCTTGTTGTGTTTTTGCCTTTCCTCTGTATTGACCCACTTCTCATCTAATCACATGGAGTTTACTGCCTGACTGACCAATGACGGGGCTGGAAAAGAGCCACAAAGGGGAAAGATCTGACTCATCTCACTGTTTGTCAGTCAAAGTCAAATAAACTGAAAACCAGTGGGTAGTCTGTGTCTATTTTTCACCTCTGTCTGTCTCTGGTTGGTTCTCACGTGACAATAATTCTAATGTTTTCAATGATCTTGGTCCCTGATGTGAGAATAAATGAATCCCCCTCTGGACTAACCTGCTTGTTGTGGAAAACATGGCTCAGATGCAGGATCACCTGCCTGTAGGGCAGCAGCAGCAGCAGAACTCTGCTGTAGCACTGCTCTCTCTACATATCAGTGAGTCAGTGATTGCACCTGAATTTCTATCTTTTTCATTCCATAAAATACCAACGTAACAAACTGTCAGCGTGAAGCAAAACTTCACTGTGATGTTAGACTTCCCCATTTCACATCACAAGCAAGTGATAAAACTGTGTTGATATTTTCACCGTGGCACAGAAATGTTTTCGTAGGGTAGTTAGTCTTGGTTGTCGTCCCGTTAACTTTTATTCAGTTATAAATACAAACTATTGGTCACTTATTTCCCATGAAGTTTGACTGGTCTTTATGCTGATGTGTTGGCGAGGTCACACCGTATGCATAATGTGAGGAGACACAGCAGACGGGTCGATCGATAGCACACGATGATCAGAATCATGCACAAAGGTTGGCTGGTGAGCTAAGCTCCTCTGGAGGTCATCTATAAAATGCATCAATGCTGCATTCAGCAGTAATTTAGCACTGTAGGTTCATGCTGCTTATCTACCTAAAAAACTGAACAAAAACTTGAAAGAGTTCAGATGGGTCATTCATTTTAAGGGCTATAGTGGAGGCTGAAGGCTCGTAAACACCACAAATTCTGATATAACATTTACAGTCGACTTTACACCTGCTAGCATGAAAGTAGCTCCACAGCTTATGACCCGTATTCACACCACATCCACGACTACTGTAAACAACACTATGTAAATCAGAGCCCTTGTTGATGCACTGTCATAAATTTAAAAACAGAACATTTGCATATTTCCACTGAGTGAAAGAAAGGATGGGGAGAGAGGGAGAGACTTGTGATGCAACCATGGAGAGAGAAAGATGTACATGAACCAAGGTTTAAAGAAAAGATGATGGAGGAACTGATCCAGAACCAGGCCAGAGTCCACTGACAGGCATCTGACAAAACCGATACTTTAATCTAAATCCAGTCTAACTCAAAACACATGGTTGGCGGATTAGTTTCTAAGCCATGACATTTGCTGCTTTGGCTGGGCTGAAATGATAGAAAAAGTGATCATGTTCAGTTTTCAAGCAGAAAATGATAATGATTGTGTTCATTAGTGATAAATCTGCCAGTTCATTTTTTAATCAATTAACTGATTGCTTGTTCTTGTCAAAAGATTTCAAGGAGCTGAAGGTGACATCTTTAAATGTCTTGTTTTGTTCGGCCAAAAGCCAAACACCCCTAAATATTCAGTTTTCCTTATAAAACTGGGTAACAGTTAAATTTTGCCATTTTTTTCTGTGCATTCACTAATGTACTAATCATTAAAACTACTTTTAGATGAGTTATTTATTTTCAATGACGTCTATTTCGTGCTCATGACAGAGTTTTTAACAAGAAACATATCAACACAATAAAATATGAGCATTACAAAGTGAAAGCAGGAGACGTGATGTTACACTTCCACCCACCGGGCTAAGATAAACTGACATATCCGGGTGTGCACACTTGAGGAAGCACAGAGTGACCGCGTGTAACGGACACCTCACACTCAGTTTAACACTTTAGTTTTATTTTAATCTCAACCCTTTTAGTGTAAAATATACATTACAGACGGTTTAACTCCCCTGGTCGCAACACCTCCTCTCTGAGGGAGGCTGCCGGTCTGAGGGACATCCGCACACCCAGCTTTGTGTTGTTGAGAAGATGTGTGTTTTCTCTAACGCAGATTTTAAATGTTGACTCACCCCAGTCTTCGCTTGTCAGGAGGTTATCAGCGAAGAACCGGCTGTCCAAATCGGATAACAGATCCGTGCTCATCGCCACAAAGGCAGTGTGTTTGTACCGTCAGATATCGAGGTGATAACAGCTAACCGCCGCTAGCTTTAGCATTAAGATAGCCGACTAATATTAGGCATGGATATAATATATAATTCAAACTAACGTTGTATGTACTACATCAGAAAACTGATATTTTATTCAGTTTGCTGTCAAATGATCTGAAGGCGCTACCTTAGCTTCGCATATGACGGACAAGGAAACGTTTTTTCTAAACCATCGCCGCCCACTTGCGACAGAGCAGCCAATGACAGCAAAGAATGTTGTAATTGACAAGAAGAAGATCCAATAATATGGGACGGCCTCATAGCCACAGGCTACGGTGCGGGGCACCACATTCGCGAGCACAATGTGTGCACGACGTCGTAGCAACTCTCCTCTATCTCCCCTGTTTCCTCTCCACCTCTCCGCGACCCACTTAATCAATAAAAATAACTTATTTACAAAGAGATCCAATACGATGATTTGGAGAGTGTGATTGGGGCAATAGTCTGACTATCACTGAGGCAGAGTGATTTGGCCCATTCGAATGGTCGCATTTTGATTGACAAGTGAAGTTAACTAATCAAAGTCAGCAAATTGCGTGTCCGCATTTAAAGGACAAGCGTGCTGGCCAATCACCAGATAAAAAAAAAACCTTCTAATGAAGGTCACGTTGATTCAAGTATTACGAAAGTAAACCCATGTTGTGTTAGTTTGTACAGAAAATAAACGAAGCTGGTTTATGCATATCGCAACGTGAAAATATGCTGAAACAACGAAATTTTATGTTGTGTTTAGCATCTTTGCATCACAATACATTGTAAATGTTTTTAATGAAACCAGAGGACTCTAAATATTGGAAATTGTCAGATTTGGAAATAGAAGACCCCCAGAATTACTAAAGACTTAATATGTTTAACATAATACATAATAGAAGATGGATTAATATTAGAAAACATGAAGAATGCTATTAAAAGCATTTAAAGATTTGGAAATACAAGACCCCCATAATGACTAAAGACTTAATATGTTTAACATAATACATAATAGAAGATGGATTAATATTAGAAAACATGAAGAATGCTATTAAAAGCATCTCAAGCTATTATTTATGAGTTAACAAAAAAGTAAAGTTTTAATAATTACCACAAAAATAAATGTTCTTTTTTGTAACTGAACAGAAATGGAAACAGACGTGACACAGAGCGGAAACAAAATACGACTCATGATCCTCCACAACACAGAAAAAACCGTGGGAAACTGTGACGTGATCAGCGTTCATCAACACAGATACTGCTGCTACTGATATTACTGGTATTAGTTAATCCACACAGCTGAGTGTGATCTAGTTTTTAAATATAGGTGTAACACTCTTCTTTTTAGCCAAACTTTCTTATTAATGTAGTTTTTTTCTGAATGTAAAATGTCGGTGAGGCTAATAAAGCATGGGTAAAAGTGTTCTTGGCTTAGTGACAGTCGCTTAAAAATTATTTATTATTGCTGTAGTATTTGAACATACATTGAATGAGTACAACAAATAGATGCACAAATTCTAAACAAATAAAACAAGCAGAGAAAATGGACTAAAAGAGATGGATGGAGTGGATCAGTCAGTCATGACTTCCTGCTCCTGTTGCACCTAAAGTGAGCAAATAAGAATCATTAAAGGAATAATCCAAACCCTTAGCCTCTCCTTATTTCCTGCTCTGGCCTCTGTTTTCTCTCAGATGGCGTGGTCACAGAGCTTGTGGACGTCCTGCAACAGTCTCTCTTTTTCTCATCTTTTTTTGCCTTTCATTTATTACATTAGCTGCTGTATCATGCTGGCTTCAGCTAAACATCAAACTGCATTTGACTGAGAACACAGACTGTGGATTTTGTCCTCCATGTCTTAGTCACAGCCTCTATGGAAATTCTGTGGCTCTTTGGTTGCTGATTCTCCACCATGTTTTCCAGCCAGTCTTTAGGTGTGCCTGTCTGTTCTCTGGATGCTAAACAATCGCTATGTAATTCTGATCTGCCTCTCATATGATTCATCTGATTAAATTACTGTCTCTGACTTCTCTCATCCTGGGTCTGAAGTAAGTTTGTGGACTGATACATTTAATCTCTATGAAGACAGAGCCATCATCATTGCCCCCTCTCAGTGTAGTGGTCAGGGTGTGACACTCTTTTTATGGTGACAAACTCTTAACAACCAGCTTCAGTAGAGGCTGATGCTCTGCATAGACATGCAGTGGTCACACTAGTTTGTCACAAAGTGTTAAAATGCTAAATAAAAAAGAGTTCTATTTTGTGAGCTTTCAGTAGGCTATCACCCGCAAATGTTCACTTCCTCTGTGCTGCTGTTTACCAGCCTGAGCGTGTATGTGATGGGCTGAAACGCCTGCTCTAATGTTACCTGCTAACAATAACACATCCGGCTAATGACACAACAACATTTAATGCAGTTACAGGTTATATATGTTCAGTTCCCAATAAACATGAGCTAATATCAACTTTTATCATCAAACACTGCCCCAGAAACCCTGTTTGAGGTCAGTGAACTCCCACTAAAAGCTGGAATGGAACATCATACCAAGTCTGGTGGGTGGATGGAGAACAGCAGGAGACAGAAGCAGAAAGTCCTGAGACTGGAATGACTCGACCAGAAAGGAAGCAGCCACTGTAACCAGTTACATCTCTGGTCTCCTACTGGAACATACTGGGCATTTTATTCATGAGTATTTGCATAAGCTGCTGTGACTTTGTAAGCTCGTACTCATTAAGGATCTGATCCTCAAATATCATTATATACCCATCAGTATAAAGGCCTGCGGTTCCACATCGTCAGGCCTCCACTCTACACGGATTTAAAACAGTGGTCCTTAACCCGACCCCTGGTTTAGGCTCTACATAAAGGTTCTTTATTTGACCTATGGCGACCCCAGTAACTCCAGCCACAGCATCATGTTTCACATAGATGTCTGTTTTATCGGCTTCTGAAAAATGAAGGGCACTCTGTTCTACATCCGCTAAGAACTTTATTTTGTTGTCACTGCAAACTGCATATGAGAATGGAAAGTCTGACAGATGTGGTGTTATTATTAATACACAGAGATGCCACACACTAGTGTTTCCTGTGGCACTCTAACACAGTGTTCATGTCAGCTTAAAATACCATAAAAGTCACTTGGTCAAGACTGTTTCCTCGTCGTGAAGAGAGTGTGGCATTGTGTGGTTGGTGCTGTAGGTAGGTGGGAACTCAGAGCATCCTGTGACATGTTTCCTCAGAATATAGTCTTGCTGTGTAGCAGGTTCGAAAACCTTCCTCCAAGGAACTCTCTCATGCAAGGACAAAGTTCCTGTTTTCAGATCTGATAAAAGCCAAGTTGGCAGTTCGTTGAATCAGTTCAATCGCTGTCAGGATGAGTCTGTTCATCTCCAGCTGCCTGTTGGTCTTAGCAGTGGGCTGCAGCGTCTCTGCGGGTAGGAAAGTTTATTGATACATCTGTACACGTCTCACATTAACATTAGCATAGGCAGTATTTACTAGTTTTTCATTTCCTGGCATTTCCTGTACAGTTTACAGCCAGTGCCAAGTTAATGTTTAAAATCTGAACATCATACAGCAGCTTCATTGTTTAACTCCACACAATAACAAATTAACAGTTTCACCTGATTTTCAGTTAAAATGCCACTTTGTAAAGATTGTTTGGATCCGACCTCTCTCTGACCGAGGTACCTGAACATAATGGGTCAGTATTTACACCTTTTGCTCTGCTGACCCTCTCCTGCTTCAGTTAAAGACCAGTGACACTAAAGATCACACGTCAGCTCATATGTTTTATGTGTAAAATCTGCAAAATATATTGTAACTACAGCTGTCAAACAACTGCAGTACAACAACAAAGCACAACATTCCTTAAATAGAAAATACTGAAGTATTTATGAATAGTCAGGGGCAACTGTGGTTCAGTGGGTAGAGCAGTCTTCTACCAACTGGAGGACTGGAGGTTCAAATCTCGGTGCCTGAAGTCGAAGTGTCCTTGGGCAAGACACTGAACCCCCAAGTTGCCCCCAATGATTAGAGCCATCAGTGTGAGTTGGTGCCGCAGATGGCTGCCTCGTTTCTGTACCAGAGACAAATTCCAAATAAAATGATTATCGAGTTTTACTGGAGTCAGTGTTTTTTTCAGATGTTGCTGCTTCCTGGTACTACTGTACATAGTGCAGCATTCATTATGTCAGTATGCACTGTTTTATTTTGCAAGTTAAGATTTTGTCATGATGTGCATGTGTGTATTATTTCCATCTAACACCAACACAACACAACCAACGCCAACAATAAACCACATGGCTACACCTGTTTCAGGGACAACAAATGAATTTTAGTGATTTTTTTTATGATACATTATATTTCAAATCAAACGTGTGACAATAAAGTACAGAGTTGCTTCAGGCGCAATAACACTGCCACCACAAAAACATGTTGTTTCTCTGTCATAAACTATTTTGTGACATTCTGCATTAGCAGATGTTACAATGTACATGTCTGTGTTATTTCCATCCCTCACAAAAGGTAATAAGACACGACCAGTGACAACAACAGTGTCAACACCAACAGCTACACCTACAACAGGACACATGGCTACACATGTTCCAACAAGTGAACGAGGTACGACGACAATCTAAAGTTTTGCCAACCAATGACACATGATTGAAAATTTCACCCTTTAAGTCAGTAATATTTATATTTTAGTGACTTTTTTTTAGATAAATTATATTTCAAACAGAGTTGTTTCAGACATGATAACACTGTCATCACAAAACGTGTTGTTGTTTCTCTGTCATTAACTACGTTGTGAAATTCTGCATTAGCAGATCTTATAATGTACGTCTGTGTTATTTCCATCCCTCACAAAAGGTAATAAGACACGACCACCGACAACAACAGTGTCAACACCAACAACTACAACTACAACAACGACAAAACACATGGCTGCACCTGTTCCAGCGACAACTAGACGACGTATGACGACAATGAAATGTTTTACCAACCCTGCACAAGACAATCTGTGACTCATTGTAAAGGCTATATTCAATACTTTCATTTAAATTCAGGTAATGAAGTCTTTAAAATATGTCTGATCATCACCAGCACTTATCCTGATCAGTCAATAGCTGGACGAGTACAGATTGTCAAACAACTGTAGTGCAATAAAATGCACGGTACTCCCTCTGGAATGTAATGGAAGAGAAGTGTAAAGTAAAATAAAATAGACCAGTCATTATGAAATGTACTTCAGTGCTGGAGGTTGTAGATGTACAATGTAAAACTTAACGCTCCTTCTGTCTGTATGCACTGTGTTATTGTACAAGTTGTTCAGACTGTTTTCTTTGTCTTCCAGCTGCTCCTGAAGTCTGGACAAAACTTCGTGGTTTAATGTTAGGAATAGTTGCCACCTTCCTCCTCTTCCTCGCCTTCATCATCATTGTCTTGGCTGGTAGGACGTGCAGGTCCAATAAACGAGGTGAGTAAAGTTTGACCTCAAAAACACAAAATGGAAACAGTTAACATAAAACAGCATTTCACTAACAAAGGAAAGCATGTAAAAAAAATAAAAAAAAAATCTAGAGTACATGTATCTTAAACAACCAAATCATGCCTTTTAATGGATAACAGGTGATTTTGCTGGTTGGAAAATGATAAATAAGATATAATTTACCTAGAAAGATAGTTTGAGGCAGAATAATAAGCACTTTGGATATCCTCATCAGCGGTTTTACACAAAACTGTTTTATAAGGGAGATATTCAGCAGATTACTAATGTGACCGTCACAATCTGGGTTGGCAGGAAACCAAGGCCCACACCACGTCTACGACAACATACAGGACCTACTGTATCAAGCTGCAAAAGGTGAGAACTGGAGTGCAGCCAGTTTATATGAAGGATGCTTTTCATTACACAAACAATGATGCATTTAAATATTACTCATCTTAAACATGGAGTTTGTTAAATGTAAACCTTTTTTTTGGAAGGTGAGGACAGCTCAGCTGAGCCAGCAGCTGTGTACTCCATGGCCACATTCCCATGTAAATAATGAAATGTTTTGCAGCATTTTTGTGGTTGTTTGATTCTTTGTTTGTTTGTTGTGTTTTTGGGTTTAGCATGGCTTTTAAAACCAACTGTGACGTTTCCTTAGCAGGTGGGCCTGAGCCGTATTACTCTGTGTATTTCTTACCCAAACCACCTGGAAGCCATGACGGTTGACATCTTCACAGTTTTACCTGAATCTTTGGCACAAAATGATCATTTATTTAGTTTGAATCAGACAAATTATGACACATCAGGCCCCCGGGTAGGGACATGAAGATGACCTCCGGTGACCCACCCAGGAGCAGGTGGAGGTTAAAGCTGTGCCAAAGGAGTTTCACTTCACATTACCTTACATTTAATGCATGTTTTCATTTTCAGCAGGAGGAATAATTCATAACAGTTTCAGTAAAATCTGATTATTATCTTTCAGACAGCATTTTGGAAATTGGACAAAATGTAAAAAATAATTGTAAAAATGGAAAGAAAAAAAGTCCTCCACACTACTGCTATCAGTAATCAATAAGCAAACAGGATGGAGGACCCAAATTCTATGGACAACGGAATGGGGAACACTCTGGGGCCATCTGGTGGTAGAATGGAGAAATGGCAGTTTATGGATGTTTCCCTAGACAATGTGGAGGATGCAGAGATGGAGGCAGGAAGTAAAATGAACAAGACCAGACGAAACCGTGACCTTTGTGACACTCTCCCATTGTCACTGGTCCAGACCTCCGATGTAAAGTTCATATGTGGGTGTTAAATAAACATTGGACTAATCCTTTTGACCACATACTCATCCATTTTCTGCTGATTATTCAAGTCCTGTTTAATGATTGATTTCACCATATTATGTTGTATGCACAGCTGACAATGTGAGTGTCAATAAATTCTATATATTCATGCACTCGTATCTCTCATTCTTTGGTCCAAATGAAACAGGTATCACACCGTTGTCTTGATGAACCCTGCTGAAACTATATTATGGGAGCCAGCTCTCAATTTATTATTAATTAAATGTATCAATTGGTGCCATTTTGCTGTTCTTTTGACTCTGTATTTAAACGTGTGGTCAAAGCTGTCACAGTGTGTTTAGCTTTTTGATTGTTTTTGGTTTGGTAATTGTAACATGAACTGTGATGCCTGGATACTGAGAAAAACCCTCAATTTTATGGTGATTTTCAAGCTCCAACAGTCATGTTAAGACTTTGACTCCTGTTTTATGAGCAGAAGCTCTGGTAACTTCATGTTATTTATTTATTTTTTTCTTACATTAAAGGTACACGCTGCACATGAGGCGGCGACATGATGCCGATCTCCATCAGCTGATCATAGCGTTTCCAGAAAACAGGCGATTCTTTCATATTAAGCGACAGTGTTTCCAGAAAACAGGCAATTCTTTCATATTAAGCGACAGGATGTCTCTGATTATGAACACAGAGTGAACGGCCTGTACCACTGAGTGAATACTGCCCCAAAGAGCCCAGGCACCGGGACACAATCAAGTGTGATTTTATTTAATCCAATCATGATTTTACACAGTCTAGATCAAGATATGGATTGTCAAGCTCAGTCTGATTCAGATGTCCTCACTGCTGAGTTTGTGGTTCATAATCTAAAGCTGTGGGCTGTTGGGAGGACACTGTGTCCACATTGTCTGACCACAGAAAGGCTGCTGTCCACAGCTCCGTTTCCATCTTGGCCAGTGGTGTTTGTCTTGATGATTTTTTTATCATGAAAACATTGAATTGGCCTGTTTGGTTGGATAAAAGATCTCAGTAGTGGGACTACTGGTGTGTACAGGCTTCAACAAATTATGAAGATAAATTCTGAGAGCAAAATTGTAGGTTTGTTCTAAATAAAATCAGCCTATATAAATGTGACCTTAGTAGTTTGATGATTGTTTCTTCCGATTTCCCAGCTGTGTGCACTACAGGGAGCTCGGGGCATAAGCACAGTCATGTTACTACTCTGTTTAAATGTAAGCTTGTCATCTTTTATAGGGGAGCAAGTATCTATGTTCATTATCAATTAATGTGCCAGTTATTTCCTTAATAGATTAACTGTGATCCAAATATGTCCTTTTTGTGATGATCAACAGGCCAAAACTGAAATAAGTTTAGCATTGTTTAGTTTATCATGAAAGTCTAAGAAAACCAGCACATACTGACATATGAGAAGCTGAAACTAGAGAGAGATGTTCTTGGCATTTTTGCTTACAAAATGATTCAATCACTCAACAAAACAATTTAATTTTCTGCCAATCAGTCTCCCCAGCTCCTCATATACAATCGCTCACAGGGTGAAGTACAGGGATGAGGCCAACTGAAGCTGCATTTGTGACAGTAACTTTATTCCATTTCAGAACTATAGCTTAATGCAACAGACACAAACTGACATCAGAACGATATAAAATGAACACAAAGAGATGCAAAACAAACACCAAAAAGGACAAAACAAATCCCTAATCTCGTGTCTACTTTATCTTTCTCTCACATGCAGAAAGACGTGTCCTCAAGTCTCCATAATAAGTAATAAATTTGTGTCTGAGTGTGACGGGTGTCTGAGGTGGTGCATTTGCATAAGAACAGCTGTAGGTGAGTCACATTCCCATCAGCTTACAGCTGAATAAATACAGCCTATTTAATAAGTAAACAGTAGGACCCCCAGCCCTTTACCATCTATTAAAGAAATCAAAGTCTGCTAAACAAATGAACTTATTGATCTTTTCTTCAATCCAGTTCAGGCTCTTTACCTGCTGCATTAACAGGGTGGCCCTGCTCTTTATTTACCTGTTGCCATTACAGGAGTTTCACACCTATAGTCATGTTGCATTCTGTTGCATTTACACACAATCAGCTGGTGCTTGAGTTAATTTTCAGGCACATTTCTCTTTTCTGATGAGAAGTGATTTAGGCCATTTCTGGGTGGAGTGTGAGAGCGGATGTTGTGACCACAGCATCCTGGTAACAGGCACAGTTAATGCACTCAGTGAGGTGTTTACTTTGGACTGCAGGCCGCTCATGGGGTTGATTTACTCCACAATCCCACCCAGACAAAGTAAAAGTAAAATAATAATGTTATGAAATCCGATGTAATCGTTGCCAGAGTAAACATCATCATCTAACTGTTGCACATGGTGCATGTAAGGCTTGAGGGTCGGGCATCTCAGGATGCTCTGAAGTGCAACACTGAGGCTGTTCAAACGGGCACCTTGCAGCCCTCCAGAATCTTTAGTTCCTCATCCATTCTGACCTCCAGGCCCTGTCCTGTCTGCACAGGCAGGCTAGTCTCTGTAGCTACATAGACCAGATGCCCCGCCAACATTCCCTCTATGTTGTCCTTTTGTCCACCCAGCTCCACACTCAGGTGTCCTTGAGACTAGTTGAGGCCTGCCACCGGTGTTTGCAGCAGCTGCACCTGTCAACTAGTCCACTCACTCTACCACAGCAAGTCTCTGTAGCCTTTAAATCATGGAGCTGTGCCTGGAGGTTTCACAGCTGTGATCTCAAGTCAGCGGTACCTTCCTGCAGAGCATCTTTCATCTGCTCCTACTTCTCACCTTGTTCCCTCTGGCACTGACAACACACAACCCTAGCTCTCTCTCCTCCCGTCAGCCTGCGGCATCCTGTTGGTGTCCTCTTTCAGTGAGGCTCAAAGACTCTTCTCAGTCCATTCAGTCCCCTCAGGGTCTCCAGAGCCTGGTTTAGACATCACACATCCTCCTCTATTCAACATATTCTTTCCTCTGTCTCACTATTTAGAGCCTGACCTAAAGAGAAGAAAAGGTGCTGACAGTATGAAAAATACAACACACGTTTGTGCTTTGGTGTGACTGCTGTTTGAATCGAGTTAAAAAAAATAAGAAAAACCAGTCAGTGCCCAGTTCAGTTCTGATGCTTAGTGAGAAAAAAAGCTCTGTCACTCATCCAGTGTGAACACAGAATTAGTGTGTAGTTCAGTGCTAGAACTCATCTATGGTCTCACACTCAGGCTGCTCCCCACCAGAGAGTGGAGGAGGGATTTCCTCTGGCGTCTGTTGTTCTGGTCCTTGACTTCGCTCATTTTCGTGCTCATGTTCCTGGTTTGCTCAGTGTGGGGGGGCTCCAGGTGGACTGGCATTGCCTCTGGCTCAGACGGATAAAGCTCGAAGGAGGCGTCTGTGTAGGAAGACGGCCTCGGAGGCCCAAAGTAGTGCACTGGGTCAAACTGGTAGTGGGAGGTCCTTTGGGTTGGCTCCATGAGTTGCCTTTCACATCTGGGTTAACTGGTGGAACATTGAACATGGGCTGTTTGTATTGAGATGAAGAGTTAATGTCAACATGACATACAGTAATAAGGGTTGTTGTTTACTCACAGCAGAATGACATAATAAGGGTTGTTGTTGAAGGCTCTATTCTATTATAAAGCCTCGTAATTTTGGACTCCAGGACACCTGTTGTACTCAGCGTTTACATAAGGCGCCCTGTCCTGCACAGTGAAGGAAAGGGTCTGTTCAGCAACACAGGCACAGCGGTTCCTGTGACGAGGAGAGAAGAGGTGACAGAAGAGATGTGGGCACATAAATATGATTTCTAGTTGGCCTCAAAATACAAGATTTTGTAAACCAAAGCAAAAGAGCACAAAACAGAGAGACAGCACTTCCTTGTGTCTGCTCGCGAGTTCCCCTCGCTCATGGTTTTGACTGAGCCCAGCTTTATACTGGTTAAAGTGGAATGGTCAGTGTACAAGGTGCAGTATACAAGATATTTGTAGCCATGTTGATGGGGGTCTTTTCTTCAAAGCAGTCTCCCCTGTGGATTAATAAAGGTCCTTAAATTATGGAATTGCAGTTCATCCTGAAAGGAGTGTAAATATCTGAACCAAATTTCATGACGACATCCAATTATTTCATCAAAATCCGCAAAAGGTCATCCTCATGGTGGCGCTACAGTAAAGGTCAGAGGATCCCCATGTCAGCAGGATTCATCCTCTGGGGTACATGAAGGACTAGAACATTTCATCCAAACATTACTGAGATACATTAGTAGTGGGCCGACACCACTGTGGTTAGGCAGAGCCACATGCAGATGCACAAGATGGAGGAACGTAGTTTCACTATGAGGCAACAAAACCTCAGATACCTGATCACAGCTTGATAATGCAGAACCTTACTGCTGTATCAGTGGGTTCATCGTAGTTTAAGCTTGTTTGTCAAAAAGTCGTGCAGCCACACAATTGTTTAAGCTGGTCTGTCAAAAAGTCGTGCAGCCACACAATTATGCTCTAAAGACAGACTGTTACTGCTTCCTGTTGCTTTCTTGCACACTGCTCATATGAACCTAGATCACATTAAAGGGGATGAACCAAGTGGAATCCATTGTTGGTCAAGTGTTAGCAGGGGATGCTTTGCTGCTCTGATCTTGCTGCTGATTCTCTTTACTGCAGGTGGAAAAACCCACCAAACTTCCCACCTAATGGCACTTATGCAGGTTTGAGTGACACTGCTAGTGTCTGTGTGTGGTTAGAAAGTGTCGAGCTGCTGCAAGAAAGTTTCTGCGTCAACTCTAAGTATACTTTGTTGAAACCGGCTGCAGTGTGGTGGTTTTATTTTTATCTTTCAGCTCAGCTCAGGTCTGCAGTCTGCTCTCAATCCTCTGCTTGTACTGTGTTACTGAGTCCTGGTGATGACTTCTTAGCTTTAATCTTGGTCTGCATTTCCCTCAGATCGCCTGTCAGGCTGGGATGGAAACTCACACCTTCTAAATGGATGTTCAGTGGATTTAGATTGAGGTTTGAGTTATGAACTGAACTTTTAAGCACCACCATCATTACTGTGGTATCAGACTTGCACTAAACAAGTTTACACTGACAGTGAAACTCTGGTAGTAACTAGGCTTCAGGTTCTTGAAGACGTTTTACCTTCATCCAAGAAGCATCATCAGCTCAAACTGAGGGCTGTTGAAGTCAAGTGTGGGCAGTTTGTCTGCTTCCGCCAGCATGCGTCTGTTGCTGCATCTATTAATGTGACAAGGCAAAGAGAGAGATCTTTATCTCACAAGAGCTGGAACACCACAAACACACCTCAAAGTGGACAACTGTGTCGCTTCCTTCTTGCATGTTGGATGCGGAACATGGCATTTATTTGCTAACACATTAGTCATTATTTTAAAAGTTGAAAAGAATCTGCACCATGCTTCGTCTGTGAACAGACGACATACAACCATATGTTCAAATAACAGGAAGAATCAGCATTAATTCACCAGAGACAGACAAAGCTGGTCAGAGTGGGTTGTTATTAGAGGAACACAGTGACATGCCAGAGCAGCTGAATGACTTCCTCTTCACAGTTGCACTTCAGTCTGCATCAGGATGCGTGTGAACATCTACTGCTGCCTGTTAGCCCTCATCCTGAGCTGCTACAACACTGCAGGTAGGAACTTCTCTAAACAGTCAGTAATCCTAAGATATACTCCTTCTTTCTGCTGCATTGTTTTTACATTTTACATGAGACATTTAAAGGAATTTTGTTAACGTGAGGCAAAGTGAAAAAGCAGGCACGTAATCAAAGTGTGCTGATGGTGTGAGAACAGCGCACGGTTCACACCATCAGGTCTTAAAGTGTGTTCTGGTGATACTGTACAGTTTTGCTTGTGAACAAATCCCATGAAAAAGTCTCATCAGCCTGGGCTGCAACTAATGATTTGTTTCATTATGATTGAACCCATCACATGCATCTTTGCGTCGTTTGCTCCAGTCCTACTGAACATGTGTCTAATCCTTTGTTCTGTTGCAAAGCGCTGTCTCTAAAGTTCGGACTAGACGCTTCCCCATTTTCAGACTTTGAGCTTTATGCTTAGCTGAGCTAACTGTCTGCAGGCTGTAGCCTCACACAGGCAGATTGCAATTTGCTCACAGTATTAAAAAAAAGCTAGCTGAAGCTCGTTTGTTAAAAATTCTGTGTCTTTTGCAGAAATAATCCATGAAGTGGTCCAGGAGAAGCAGCAGGTCACTCTGCATTGTCCTCACACTGTGGAGGGTCATGTGAAGTGGAGCAGAAAGAGTAAAGGAGGCACAGTGGACATACTTACAGCTGGTGGTGACAGAGACATAAAGCACATTAGTGACCCAGGCAAACGATACGGTGCACAGTCAACGTCACTGTTTATTCTCAAAGCAAATGTCTCAGACACTGGAAAGTACCTGTGCAACAATACCCCAGCCACAGAGCTGACAGTGATCACATCAGGTATCAGACTTTTCTCAAAGTTGTTCTGTTCTCTCTTCCTGTTTCAAAATCATGTCTCTGTCCTTAAAGTTTAATTTTCTAAACTTTGATTACAAAAATATTTTTGCACATGAATGAAATGATGCATTTCAAATCTAAATTTAATACCGTTTCTTTCCTGTTACTGTGGCTGAGTCAGTAATTACAGTATATTTTCATTTAGTCAAATAACATGCAATGGAAAGCAATAAACCACACCATGTCGTGGATTAGTAAAGGTGATTAGAAAAGTGGCTTTACTTTTTAAGTACTTCTGTTGGTAAATATATTAAATTTTTTCTGTCCTTTTAAAGGAAAATCCTTAACTTTACCTTTATTTTAAAGTCCTGAGTAAGAAAAGGTGTGATTTTCACATGGCCCCTGACTTTAACCTGATACACTGAGGATGGAGCATCATAAAAGATGAATCTTGGTTTTTTCTCACTCGGTGTGTTTGTTGTGTGCAGGAACAGACAAACACAGTGTTACAGAGGGGGCCAGTGTCCGTCTGCACTGCCCTCCTGATGTCGGAGGATCACAGGATCCCACATGGAGCAGGGAAATCAAGGGAGAACAAGTCATGCTTCATGTTTCTCCGGCTGGCAAGATGTTGACTATAACAGCTGTGCAGCCTGGTGACTCCGGACTGTACTACTGTGGTGGAAAACCAGCAGTTTATCTGAATGTGACCAAGAGAGAGAGATCTGAGAAAGGTGAGACACGAGAACCCCGCCACTGCAAAAAATATGGGGGAGTGAGGCATAGAATGTGCACACAGCTGTGAAATACATGTTTTGTTTTGCTGAGAGTCAGACTGAAACCACTCTGTGGCTGTCAAATGTGAGGCTACAGCCTGCAGACAGTTAGCTCAGCTAAGCATAAAGCTCAAAGACTGAAAATGGGGAAGCGTCTAGTCTGAACTTTAGAGACAGTGCTTTGCAATAGAACAATGGATTAGACACATGTTCAGTAGGACTGGAGCAAACGACGCAAAGATGCATGTGATGGGTTCAAAACGTTTAAACTAAATGACTCAAGGCAAAAATTCAGGCCAAGAAATAGTCCAACACAGAACTCCTCTTAATGTGTCATCTTATACATCTCATTTTTATACAATGAATCTAACAAGATATAAAAGGCCAGTGAGTGTTAGAGGTGCTGGTAGGTTGGTGTATCAGCCGTTTCCGGTCTTTGTGCTAACTTGGCTAAGCAGCTGTTGACTTTAGCTTCATGTTCAATGCAGACGTGGGAGTGGGATCGGTGTGGTGGTGGTCTGACCCGAATTCTCTGTAAGAAGAATGAGAAACTGTTTCTTTAAATAGATGATGCAAATATGCAACTGCACAGAAGGCAGACTAATAATCAACATGTAACTGCATTGACGTCAAACAAGCCCGTTTAGCCACATGAACAGCGCCCGGTGCATTCTGTTTCCATCTGAGAACACTGTGGTTGCATGGCCACAAACAGGCCGTTCACCTTTTCCCTGCTTCAGAACGGATGTAAGAGTTCACAACTTTATGTGGTAAAGTGCATTTTGGTGCCCTGTATTATGTACAGTATGTCCTCTGTCTCACACTGCAGGTAACAAGCCATCGCCAACAACAACTACGCCTAAACCTGCACCGAGACAAACAGCACTGACAGCAGCACGGCCTGAAGCAGCGACTATACCATCAACATCACCGGCAAACACAACAAAACGTTCCAAAGACAGAAGGAAAAAGGACAAGAAAAAGAGTAAGATGCATCATATTTCTATTAAATAGAATAAACAGGGGTCAACAACTCAGAAATAAACAAAAAGCAGAAACCTCTCCAATGCAAAATAAACATAAAGCAGTAATTCAAACTGAAACTTGCAGCTCTATGAGCTGGGACCTGTTGTGTTAAACTGGTAGAATAGGGACGTTTTAACATCTTTAATGTAACATTTACATTAGATATACTCACATTGTACTTAGGACCAGATCTCTGTAATGGCATCCTGAATAAAGGAATTAGTCTAATAGATATGTTCACAATTCAAAGGTAAATTTATCTTTAATTCTCAACATTTAATTGCCACTAAATAAAATGGCCATTAAATGTTCTGAAGGTAGAGCTAAGACTATTCAGTAGAGATGACTTCATACTAGACACTGTTGGACATGTACATGTACTGAAAAGGGTGCATGTGGAGCCACTTTGTCATAGAAAGGTTTGATTGTCCCTAATTACATTTTTATACCAAATTCTGCTTGAATTTTTGTTTTGCTTCGTCATCATTTAGATGGAGACACCTGGAATTCTCTTCAGAGCAACATGAATTGTAAAACATGAAAAATAGATTCTCTGTACAACTCAGTGAGTCATTCTTACGTTATCATGTAGCCACAGACACTGCATCTTAGATTTCAGTTTGGAATGGAATAAGAGATGCAGGGTTGTGACCGGTCATAAATGCACTGTGGGTATGTTTAATGTACAGTAAATCCTGCCAATCTTAAAACTGTTAACGGGATCTTAATGCATGTTGTTCCCTCTGTCACAGAGCATGAAAAGACTTCTCCTCCTCCTCCACCAACAGTTTAGTTGTTACTATGGTTACATTTACAGTCTTATGCAAAAGTTTAGGCACGCCTTGATAAATAACAGATTTTGGTGATTTTTTATTTGAACAGATGTTAACACAGTTTCTCTTGGAAATGGAAAAAATGCACAATATTTTCTGCAAACAGTGATGCATAGTTACTTCTTATGCCATAAATTGAACAAAAATAAAAAATAAAAACATTATTATGGCATGGTGCAAAAGTTTGGGCACCCTAAGAGTTCCAGAGTCTCAAAGTCTCTCACAAGGTTTCAGACCTTAATCAGCTCGTTAGATCTGATGCACAGCAACAGCTGTCATTGGTAAATGCCAATTTCAAAGCTGTACAAATACTTTGACTCTTCAAACCTTGTGCACACACTTGCGGACACCCAGCAACCATGGGTTCCTCTAAGCAGCTGTGTAAGACCCTGAAAATGAAAGTTATTGATGCCCACAATGCAGGAGAAGGCTACAAGAAGATAGCAAAGCGTTGTCAGCTTGCAGTTTCCACAGTAAGAAATGTAATTAAGAGATGGCAGATCAGGGGAACTGTGGAGGTCAAGATGAGATCTGGAAGACCAAGAAAACTCTCGGACAGAACTGCTCGTATGCTGGTCAGAAAGACAAATCAAAACCCCCATTTGACTGCAAAAAACCTGCAGGAAGATTTAGCAGACTCAGGAGTGGTGGTGCACCGTTCCACTGTGCAGCGATGCTTGCACAGACAAGGCCTTCATGGAAGAGTCAGCAGAAGAAAACCTTATCTGCGTCCCCATCATAAAATCCAACGTCTGAAGTATGCAACAGGACATCTACAGAAGCCTGATGCGTTTTGGAAACAAGTGCTGTGGACTGATGAAGTTAAAATAGAACTCTTTGGACACAATCAGCAAAGGCATGTTTGGAGAAAAAAAGGAGCAGCATTTCATGAAAAGAACACCTTGCCAACTATTAAGCATGGGGGTGGATCTATCATGCTCTGGGGTTGTGTTGCAGCCAGTGGCACAGGAAACATTGCACGGGTGGAGGGACGAATGGATTCCACTAAATACCAGCAAATTCTGGAAGCAAACATCACACCATCTGTAAAAAAGCTGAAGCTGAAAAGAGGATGGCTTCTACAACAGGACAATGATCCTAAACATACCTTGAAATCCACTATGGAATACCTCAAGAGACGCAGGCTGAAGGTTTTGGAATGGCCATCACAGTCCCCTGATTTAAACATCATTGGAAATTTGTGGGTAGATCTTAAAAGAGCTGTGCATGCAAGACGACCACAGAATATTACAGAACTAGAAGCCTTTTGCAAGGAAGAATGGGAGAAGATCCCAAGTACAAGAATTGAAAGACTTTTAGCTGGCTATGAAAAGTGTTTGCAAGCTGTGATATCTGCCAGAGGAGGTGTTACTAAGTACTGATTGTGTAGGGTGCCCAAACTTTTGCACCATGCCATAATAATGTTTTTATTTTTTATTTTTGTTCAATTTATGGCATAAGAAGTAACTATGCATCACTGTTTGCTGAAAATATTGTGCATTTTTTCCATTTCCAAGAGAAACTGTGTTAACATCTGTTCAAATAAAAAATCACCAAAATCTGTTATTTATCAAGGGGTGCTTAAACTTTTGCATGAGACTGTATCAGCTTACATTCCATTAAGCTGAGCAGACACTGTACGGATTCGGCCTGATTTCAGACCCCAGTGACGTATGGTGTGAGCAGGGTCCGGTGCCAGTTTTATGACCCAAACGATCTGCCTCCCGACCGCTCAGATGGATTTCTAGCATGTCAGAAATCTGGTCGGCTGTGTTGCAGCTCCACGGCCTGAAGTCAGTTCAGTGCATGTGTGAGTACAGGGACGACAGCAGAACAACATGGCACAGACGAGGTATCACACTGGAGAGAACCAACTGAAACGGGGCCTCAGACTGGACATAAGATTTATAAACTGTAAACGGACGAGGCTAACCGACCTGTGGCAGCGCCACACTCTGCAATGTGTCATCAAAACGCTGTGATGATCTGCAGCAACAGGAAAAACAGTGACAGCAGATCACAGCTGTTCATCAGCTGCACAAAGTAAAGTGGCTAAAGGTAACGCTGGTTTTGTTCTGGCTGACCTCAACGTTACTGGAGGCGTCAGTGGAAACACTTGCTCCAGGTTTTGTTGAATCGTCCGGTGAAGTCGCCGGTTCTGGCAATTTAAATGTATAGTGTGAGATAACACATCAAATACGATCAGTAAAAGTGTCTGCTTGACTTTAATCTTATTTACAAAAAGTATGAAATCGCTGGTGTATGGAGACCACATGATATATATAGCTGGACAAAACGATTCATACTGTGATGTTTTTGTATCACAATATATTGTATTTGAATATATTGTCCATCCCTAGTTGTTATTATTTGATACTTTGTCTCACAGCTGGTCAGCTGGACCATGGCTTGGTGCTTGGAATAACTGTCCCAGTCACTGTTGTCATCCTCCTCCTCCTCATCATCATCACCTACTTAATCCGGAGACGCAGGTTAAAAAGACAAGGTAGATAATAGAGGTAGAAGAAGTATTCAGATGCTTTACTTAAGTAAAAGTACTAATACCACACTGGAAAAATACTACAGGTAAAAGTCTAGAATTGAAAATGTCACAACAAGTACAGTCAGAATATTTTATTAAAACTTTATTTACTTTACTCCTGTGGCTGTTTGAGGTGGAGTCAAGTTTTAAATATTTTATATTGGGCAACTTTTTAAATTATAAATTAATATATCGATCATCTTTCTGATCAGTCAATTTATTGTTTGGTTTATAAGATGTAAGAAAACAGAAAGAAATTCCCCATCACAGTGACTCGAAACGACACCTTTAAAATATTGTTTTGTCCAACCAGCAAAATAATTTTAATTTTTTAAAAAGATTAGAATAAAGCTAGAACCTTCCCCCAGGTCTTCATTTTCTTCTACAGCAGATAAAAGTTGCTGACTACACTTTATAAATGAAATACTACTTGTGTTATGGTAGAACTTCATTCTGCTGCATCTCCACTCAACCTGACAGTGGTGTCGTACAGTTCAATGTAAAGTTACGCTATGGGGATTTCACAGATGCAGCCTGTGTTCCATCAGATGTTAAAGCAGGTCATCCCTGACCAGTCAGGGGATTACTAACACTGTGATATTCACTATCTTCTCTGCAGGAAATGAACCAAACCATATCTATGATGAGATACAGAATGAGTTAGTGCCTCAAACTGCAACAGGTGAGAAATGAGAACAGACTTCCTTTTACTGTTATGATCTAAACTCTGCTTTGTGTTTCTGTGGTGACAAATCATTAAGTGGCCACTGGAACTGCTGGTTGCTTTAAGCTGGGACTTTGTAGGGCAGGAGTTTTTTACATTCAAATCAGAACAGTGACTGTTTAATGAAAAGATAAATTCCTGCTAATTGTTCAATTTAAATCAGTCATCAGGTATATTTATCCATATGAATGATTTTAATTATATTTTTCAAACCAAACAAAGAGGAAGTAACAACAGAACCTTCAACATCAAGTTTACTGTTATCACTTCCTGTTTGGCAGGTGCACTTCGGCCCGCTGGAGGAACTGTGTACTATTTGGCAACGTCTCCAGGTACATGGTCTTTAGGGCACACAGACAAACTGAACTGTCCACCATGTGGTGCTGTCTGAGTTTAGCACCACAGTGGACACGATGCATTTTAGGAGAGATACCGCACTGCAGAAACCCAATGTGACCTTTTCTTGTAGGTTTAACCTCTGTTACTTAATATCTTATGACTGCAAGATCCTTTTCTCATAATATAGAGACACTCACCCTCTAATGGACATTTATAGCCAGTCTGATAAATTTATCTGTACTGTGGTAGTCAGGTAGGTTAGAAACAGGCACACCGAGTTCTAGCCAGAACTCTCATATGGATGCTAAATGAAAGTTCTGACATATAATCCGGTTCTGGCCGTGTGGTCGGGCAATTTAAACGTATAGTGTGAGATAACACATCACATACGACCAGTAAAAGTGTCTGCTCGACTTTAGTCTTATTTACAAAAAGTATGAAATCGCTGGTGCATGAAGACCACACGATATATATAGCTGGGCAAAATGATTCATACTGTGATGTTTTTGTATCACAATATATTGTATTTGAATATATTGTCCATCCCTAGTTGTTATTATTTGGTACTTTGTCTCACAGCTGGTCAGCTGGACCATGGCTTGGTGCTTGGAATAACTGTCCCAGTCACTGTTGTCATCCTCCTCCTCCTCATCATCATCACCTACTTAATCCGGAGACGCAGGTTAAAAAGACAAGGTAGATAATAGAGGTAGAAGAAGTATTCAGATGCTTTACTTAAGTAAAAGTACTAATACCACACTGGAAAAATACTACAGGTAAAAGTCTAGAATTGAAAATGTCACAACAAGTACAGTCAGAATATTTTATTAAAACTTTATTTACTTTACTCCTGTGGCTGTTTGAGGTGGAGCCAAGTTTTAAATATTTTATATTGGGCTGCAACTTTTTAAATTATAAATTAATATATCGATCATCTTTCTGATCAGTCAATTTATTGTTTGGTTTATAAGATGTAAGAAAACAGAAAGAAATTCCCCATCACAGTGACTCGAAACGACACCTTTAAAATATTGTTTTGTCCAACCAGCAAAATAATTTTAATTTTTTAAAAAGATTAGAATAAAGCTAGAACCTTCCCCCAGGTCTTCATTTTCTTCTACAGCAGATAAAAGTTGCTGACTACACTTTATAAATGAAATACTACTTGTGTTATGGTAGAACTTCATTCTGCTGCATCTCCACTCAACCTGACAGTGGTGTCGTACAGTTCAATGTAAAGTTACGCTATGGGGATTTCACAGATGCAGCCTGTGTTCCATCAGATGTTAAAGCAGGTCATCCCTGACCAGTCAGGGGATTACTAACACTGTGATATTCACTATCTTCTCTGCAGGAAATGAACCAAACCATATCTATGATGAGATACAGAATGAGTTAGTGCCTCAAACTGCAACAGGTGAGAAATGAGAACAGACTTCCTTTTACTGTTATGATCTAAACTCTGCTTTGTGTTTCTGTGGTGACAAATCATTAAGTGGCCACTGGAACTGCTGGTTGCTTTAAGCTGGGACTTTGTAGGGCAGGAGTTTTTTACATTCAAATCAGAACAGTGACTGTTTAATGAAAAGATAAATTCCTGCTAATTGTTCAATTTAAATCAGTCATCAGGTATATTTATCCATATGAATGATTTTAATTATATTTTTCAAACCAAACAAAGAGGAAGTAACAACAGAACCTTCAACATCAAGTTTACTGTTATCACTTCCTGTTTGGCAGGTGCACTTCGGCCCGCTGGAGGAACTGTGTACTATTTGGCAACGTCTCCAGGTACATGGTCTTTAGGGCACACAGACAAACTGAACTGTCCACCATGTGGTGCTGTCTGAGTTTAGCACCACAGTGGACACGATGCATTTTAGGAGAGATACCGCACTGCCTGTCTCCTATGGTTGTTCTCTCTTGGAAAATGATGATTTTGGCCATGTACAGAACTGAATTTCTGATCAGCTTTTTTATCAGAATGCCTGTGCAGCACAAAGACTGCAGACCTGAGACATGGGGTGGGGGGGGGGGGGTGATATGGACAATCGGACACCCATTTCATGGATGTGTGAAAGCAGACAGGCATTGTATTTACTGGGCACAGACAGGGGCTGCTTTTGGTCCTGCACCAAAATACACTGAAAAACTTTTTGAAAAGTGGCACAAAGAATTATCTTCTAATGGTGATAATGCAATCATCATCACACCCCCAACCTTTTATTCTTTCCTTTTTCCCTCTATTCTTCTGACCCTGCTGGGGGTCTGCCAGTGGCCGAGAGCAACACGGACCTCTTTAGCCTTCCCCAAAACCGTCAAGTTCACAAACATTCTCCGTCTCTATACTTCCATTTGTGCTTAGTGAGGGAACACTTAAAGTCAGAGCCACACAAAATCAGAATCACGCTTAAAATCAGAGCCATACTTCTAAAATAAGATCGCAGGTAAATAATATTTCTGACCAGCTGTATGCACACACTGTATGTGTATGTACAGTCAGGGAAAAAATTATGTGATATGGACAATCAGACACCCATTTCATGGATGTGTGAAAGCAGACAGGCATTGTATTTACTGGGCACAGACAGGGGCTGCTTTTGGTCCTGCACCAAAATACACTGAAAAACTTTTTGAAAAGTGGCACAAAGAATTATCTTCTAATGGTGATAATGCAATCATCATCACACCCCCAACCTTTTATTCTTTCCTTTTTCCCTCTATTCTTCTGACCCTGCTGGGGGTCTGCCAGTGGCCGAGAGCAACACGGACCTCTTTAGCCTTCCCCAAAACCGTCAAGTTCACAAACATTCTCCGTCTCTATACTTCCATTTGTGCTTAGTGAGGGAACACTTAAAGTCAGAGCCACACAAAATCAGTGAAGAGGGAGACAGAGAGAACTTTTCTTGAACAGGGACTTTATTCTGCCTTGTCTCACCAAACATATTTGTCTTCTTATGTTTCGTATACTGCACTGCAAGCTTATCTAGTCACTTTTTTAAGCTAACTACTGAAGGTTTAGCACGTACATCACTGCACTGACGGCTTCCCCAAATAGACAACACTGCTTCCAGTGTCACAGTCACATTGACCATAAACTCTTAAAGGGGAGGCCTGACCAGTAACAGTGACAAATATCCACAATCCGTTAAACATGACCCATTGCTGTCTGTGGCAGCTGATTTAGACTATATGGACCCAATGGTCACACTGACCAACAGAAACAAGTGAGGATACACTCGTCAAAGGAGTGTCACGTGACAAGGCCCGTTACACAATAAGAAAAATGTTTTTCCCCAAATATCGGTTTACTTTTCCAGTATTTACAAAAATAGAGTTGAATCTTCCTCATGTCCTCTAAAATGTCCAGTCGTTGCTGCCTTGTTCCCACAGATTTCCTCCACTGAACCTGCATATTACGTTTGGTGCCAGTGTGACAATGAAGGAGAAGGAAGAGCCCTCACCTTCACAACTACAGTAGTAGTATTTCTTTTTTGGTTGTTACAGTACTTATTCCACTTGTCATCGTCAGCTCTGTTTGTTGTCTTTGTTGCTGCATAAGAATGGGGGACATGCTTATTTACCTTCTTTTAAGAATGAGATGAGAATTTGTCAAATTTGTCATAACAAAAGATGCCTGGATAAAATGTCAGTTTCCATCCAAATACACAATTTTACTGAGATCACTTAAGACCTGTTTGTGCTTTTTGACATGGATCAACTTTCATGTTAGTCAGACTCCTGATCACTGAGCTAAAGCTAAATATGCTCAGTTGTCAGTTTATTAGGAACAGCTGTCTCAGCTCAGTCAGTTTAATCCAACAGTCCTGCAGTAAATCCTCCATGATGTTCAGCTTATATTCAGATTCAGGAGTTGATTCTCCTGGAGGATATACACAGTTCGTCCTGCTGTTGCACTGTATCACGGTTTTATTGTTAAACCGGTGGATTATAATCACTTAAAAACATATTTTAATCATCAATTAATACACTGGTTTCTCAAAAATACAGAAGTAGTGCTGCCTTTTTCTGGTAGGGCTCCATTTATGAGGGGGTTGATGTACAAGTTGCACCACAGCGACATGACATATGGTGGTCACACATTGTTTCATCCTTGTATGATCTGAGAGTTCATGTTCCCATGCAGGATTTAGTCATTCTCCAAAAATCAGCTAAGGTGCATTATGTTCTTTCATTTTTGTCTTTATTATTGCAGATCTGATATCTAGATACAGACGGAAATTTCTGAATATAAGAAATTCAGAGGAAGCTTCAGATGTGTGAGTATATTACAGAGAATTTGCGTGATGAGTAATTTCACACTGTTAGGTATTTTTAGTCAGATAGAAATTGGATAGATACTTTATGTATTAGAAATGTTTAGTGGAGATAGGATGTCTAGTTAGACTGTTAAATGCTTAGGCATGCTTATGAGTTTCTACAGGGTACATCTGGTCAAGGATAACTAGAGAGAAAAGTTGATGACTGTCAGAAGACAGGGTGTTTAATATTATTATTACGACATGTATAACTGTAGCCTTAGCCATAATATGTTCTTATGTTTAAGTCACGACATGTACTAGAGGTCGTGAGAATGTTTTTAGTTACACACCACTTAATCAACAGATATACACATTCACACGTTGATTTGCTTCATGTTTTGACTACTGCT